GCCAGCAATTGGGGCTCAGATAAGCCAACCCACTGGCTCAATGATCAATGGCTACCAGACAGCACACTCAGAGGAGCAGCAACTACTAGTAGTCCTGGAGTATCGACTCTCTTCCTTATGATGATGTGCTTGACCCATCAGAGATAAGAGAGAATTATTGGGCTCTGTTTTGGCTTTGCTTTTCTTTTCTTATCATGCTCTTACTAACTGGGATTCACCGGAAGGTTACCTCCTCTCTTCCAAAATAATTTTACTTTTCACTCATCCCACATGTAACAATACAAAATAAAAAGGATTAAAGAATACATCTATTTTATTAAATCCCAATACAACTATTCAGCACTTTATCTACTCCCAATAAAAATATTACAATTTTTCATAAACTTCGATGCAATGATTACCTTAAAACTAACTTATTTTGGGACAAATAAAAGAAACTACAAATAAAATTATTATGGGACGAAGAAAGTAGTAGAACTAAGAGTTTTTCTTCTACCAGACAATCGTAGGAGTAATCAGTACTCCTCCCCCTATCTTAAGATATAATTCTTCCAATCTAGATGAGGATGTGATATAATTTAGTACAATGAATTTGAATAGAGGATATTCATTTAGATTTATTTTACTATATTGTGTCACATTCTTACTCAGGTTAAAATATTTTGGACGGAAATAGTACTACCTCTATCCCATAATGATAGGGCTTTTGACTATGCCGCTTTTAATAAACATACAAAATTTATCCTAGAACAACTTTATCATCAGTCTATATTTCATCTAATTATAATCATCTCTCATTTAAGTTTTACACTATTTTCCCCTCAACCCATCTCTTATTTACTTTTACTATCTCAAAAACTCCTTAAACCTAGTATTTGAGATGCTTAGGGGGTGTTTTGAGAGAGGGGCTAAAGTCCCAAACACCCCCTTACTACTAGTAGAGTAGTACTACTACATTTTAAGAGGGAGGTCTCCAATGCAGCTCGTTTTTGTTTTCTCTTTTCTGCAGCAGTGAGGGGAACAGATAGATGGGGCTCCACCTCCACACCAGGAGAAGGGAACTAAGGAGGTGGTGACTGCTGACTGACGAAGGCCTCTCTTTCGGCTGTGAACCTGTGACACTGCAGAGCTCTGCAGGCTGCATGCATGGATTGAGACTTGCAGAGCACTCTTTCGGATCACCCCATGGATCCACAAAGGTTTCTTTCAGTCTTTCCCTGTGTCCTTTGACTATGTGCCACGCATTCATACTGAAAAATTGAACTTACTACTCCCATCAATTTATCAATTACTCCATCCGTCCCAAAATAAATAAAATTAAAATAAAATACAATATTTTCTAGTCGGATTCATTCTATTAGATTATATTGAGACGAAGACATGTTCACTTTTAATACCATTTTCAACCATACTATCTTTTTAAATTAAAGTTGCCAAAAAAAATCTACGTTTAGTTTGTTGCTAGATTTGGTCAATAAATAATAAATCCTACCAAACTTGGTAAGATTTATTTTGGCTATAATCTAAACATGTCCGAAGGGGGTAATGTGTAGCGTTTGTCGTTCTTTTAAAAGGTAAGAAGTACATGCATGGAAAATGCAGTATGTTTGGGAGTACAGGTAGGTTACAACAAATCTACTTCTACATTCTGTTGGAAATGCAGCCGGTAGTACTTTGTAGGAGAAGTACACGGGGTACGTAGAACGTTTGTACTTTTGTCACCGCATGATGCGAGCATGCCTGAATGCATCATGAAGCCCATGGCAACCACTTACTCCTACTACGAGGGGAAATAACATTTCTATTGCCATTAATATTCCTGCAAAACCTGATCAGCAAATGAATAACCAAAACAAACTCCTCACTCACTCAACTCACTCACTGATAGCACATGTTTTGTCCCCCAAGGCATGCAAGCTGGGAGTGTCCGTCCAGAGCTCAGAACAGTGAAGACGAGCTACTACCTCAGCTGAAGGTCCCTTCTCTCCCCTACATGATGAGTCAAAGAAGTGGTCAGATTGCCTGGCCTGCCACAGCCTGCACAGCTTATGTAAGGCTTCCCATCTGATTCACAGATGCATGGCATATGTGCAGTGCTGCTCCCTGCTGGAGTAGACAGCTGCCTTCTCTCTCTCTTTCTCTCTCTGTGTCATCTCTGATGCGTCTGCAGCAGCAGCATGCAGGGACAGGACACCCCGCTGCATGCATGCTTCGGCAGCAGGCAGGCAGTGTGCTGCTTGTCATGCGTACAGGCAGGCAGGCAGGCAGGCAAGCAGGCGGATGGATGGATGGGCGGAGGGAGGGAGGGACAGTGGCGTCTTCTCGTCAGCGTTCCCCAGCTTTCGCTGCGGCGTCGGCGTTAAATGGGAGATGCCCCGGTAGGTGGCGGTGGTGGTGGTGGCGCGGCTGCATGCGGAGATGCTGCTGCAAAATGGCGTCGATTTGACCCCACCCACATGCACATGCGTGCTCGCGTGCAGCGGCGCCAGAGACGACAGCGTACGTACGTACTGGGAGGAGGATATTGTGGAGTGTAGCTAGCGCGGCAGTTTCACCGGCGACTGGGTGTAGACGTGTAGCTATAGGAATTTGCAAGTTCACCTTTGCTATTTCAGGCTTGGGGTCTCTCGAGCTGTTGTATTTGTGTTCATGCACCCACTGGAGATCCAAAGTTTGCATCCAAACTTCAGTCCTTTTCCATCACATCAACCTGTCATACACACATAATTTTTCAGTCACATCATCTCCAATTTTAACCAAAATCCAAACTTTCGCTGAACTAAACACAGCCAAAATACAACAATATGCACTACTGTTTGTATTTGTGTTCATGCTCCCACCGGAGAAAATACGACAATATGCACTACTGGATCAGGGGACTCAGAGCAGGAGTAGCTACAGAATACTATTTGGGACGCTGCAGGTAGGAAAGCATATTACTGGGAAGGAAAAGTTGCAAGAGTCTCCAGGAAGGAAAGAAGGTAAGAGTAGCCTTATCGGCGAAGGATTCGATCATGAGCAAGCATGGATGGATTGAAGCAGTGACTGAGCCCAGTGGTGGTGGAGTTAGTGCAGTCAGCAGCTTGGGGCTAGGGACCAGGCATCGTGCAGCGGGAATTGTGTGGATGCATAGTGGAGCGGGGCTCTCTAGCTTGCCGGCGACCCAGGAGCAGGGAACATGCATCCACCCGATCAGCGATCACGCTTTGATTCGGCAGCGAGAATAGTCTCGATCACCATGGGGGTTTAATCCGGTGGACACGCCGGCCAGCTTAACTATGTAGCCCAAGCTACCTGCATGCATGCACGCAGGGACCATGCATGATGCATCATGGCCAAGTTGGCACGGAAGTGAACAGATGACGACTCTGCTGATGCGATCCCAAACACAGAAGATCCTGGTGGTCTCCGCTCCGTTCCTCGTCCTCCTCCTGCGGCATCTGCCTAAAAAGCTTAAAAACTCCGGCAGCAGCGTCTTTCCGACGGCCGTGGCGTGGCCAGCCACCGTACGTACACTGGTACACACGGGGGTGGGGGTGACGCAGCGACGCGTCGTACCATGGGGCGACGTTGTAGGTAGCGGCAGGCGGCGGCACATGCAGCGAGCTAGTAGTAGCGGCGAGGAGGGCGGCAGTGTGACGACCACTGGTCGAAGGCTTTTTCCGTGGTACGTTGTGGCAGGCACATTCACTGCGCTCTGCTGCTGCTGCTGCTACCGCCCCACGGGCAAAGCGGAGCCCTTTCACTCCCTGCGCACGCAGCGACTCACGCAGGCACACCGCCCCTGTAGCATTCCTCGCAACCACAGTCCACGTCTACCGCTGCTTTCGGCTTGGTACTGATGAGTACTACTGCACCGAAACATTGCTCCTAGCTGATGAAACAACAGGCTTTAGGCTGTAATAAGCCACTGTTTTTAGAAGCGAAGGCCTGACGCTCGACAGTCAGGTCTTGCTTGGGCAGTTGGGCTTTTGCCTCGAAAGTAATCAAAACTTGAGTGTACTCCTCATATCATCCACAGCTCAAATCTCTTGATATGAAGCAAAGGTATATTAGCCTTGCCAAGCTGCCTCCTCGTCAAACTCTTCTTTCTATGCCTCCTCACTTTGATAGGCAGATAAAAAATGTTAATAGTGGAATGCTGGTCAATGAAGCTCTTCGGGCCGGTTTGGTTTGAGGTCTAAATTGGCCTTACCAATATTTGGCAATTTCAAAGTGTTTAGTGTCTATTTGGTTTGAAGCCAAATTTTGACATGCTTAAGAAAATAGGCCATTTCAATAGTTAACTTAGGCTATTTTAGCTTCAATCCAAACACAACTTTTGCTTTGCCAAAATTAGCCATGTCAAAATTTACCAAAATTTAGCATCGACAAAAATTAGTAAGACCAATTTAGGTCACAAACTAAACCAGCCCTTCGTTCTTCATCCAGGAAGTAAAAAGGAGGTAAAACTATGTCCCACAGCTGTAACTGATGGCTAAGAGCCAAAAAAGGAGCTGTAACTGGGATGGCTAAGAGCAAGTTTAATAGTATAGCCAACTACTGGCTCCAATTCATCTATATCCAATCTAATAGCTCATTCATACAATAGTTACATACTACACTATTAATACATGGTCCCACCTATCATACACACTGTGTCTTGGAGTCCGTGCTACAGCTGGCTACAAATCTATAGCCCGCTGCTCTTCTCTCTCCTCATTTATCTGTTTACAGCTGGCTTATAGTCTGCTATTATTGTAGCTGCTCTAAGAGCCAATGGGTAAATGACGCCGATATAGTCCAATATGCAAAGGCTATAACGACGATCTGTCAGACAATTTAAACTCCGCCAACAAGAGACGGCATCGGAATATGCATTGCTTTTAATGAATTTATCATGCTCATGTCCACTGGCCAGGATTGGACCGTCTGCTGCCACCTGCCATCAAACACAAGGTCTCGCTCACTCGCTCCCAAAATATAACCACCTAACACTAGATTAAACATGGAAAAATGCATGAGCGTCCAGCATAACAATATCCTCCGTCAAGATTCATGTCAAGATTCCAAAGCTACTGGACATACCGAACTCTTCTCTACACTATGCCATCACTCAACAGATCGAGGTTCAAAGAACCCGATCTTCAAATAACAGTACGTATTTTTGTTTCCCCCTCATATACAGATTACATTACAGCTGCAAAATGAACACTTCAGATTACAGACATTTTGCAACGCAGAATTAACATATTTAGTAGTCACTGTTGAAGGGAGAGACCTGGGAGGTTTTCCTATGGGACAACTACTACCTACAAAATCTTAAATGGCAAGCTGTGTGCAACAGCCATGCCAAATTAATGTATAACTACTAGAACATCATTTTGGCTAATTATCCATATCTGGATCTCAATAATATACCATTTCTCCAACAGTCATCGGTGGTTTCGTCCAAACCAGCCGTATTCATTTTTATGGGAGCCGTGCCAGTACCTTAACATAGCCATGAACTGGACTCTTTGTCTGGTTCAGTATGGTTTCTTTGGAACCACATATGAACACCCATACAGTTTGGTAACCCAACGTTGAGCTGCCAATGTAATAAAAAGGCAGCTCATCTTTTCAAGATCAATATGTACAGTTGAGATCGGGATCTAACACTGTAATGCAAAGAGAGAGAGAGAGAGAGAGAGAGAGAGTTAAAATGAGCACTAGAATAAATCATCATGCAGTAGACACCTAAGGATCGAAATATACTTGGCTACATACTCCCTCCGTCCGAAAATATAGCAATCTTGGATCAGATGGGGCTCAACCTATGCACTATGAATCTGGACAGAAGACATGTCCAAATTCATAGTACTAGGTTGAGTCAAGTCCGGTCTTAGGTTGCTATATTCTGGGACGGATAGAGTATTTCATAAAGTGTTAATATCAAAGGCAATGTTATCTCATGGACATTTGAGCACGGTTTTAACTTGCGGTAGGTTTCAACTTTCAAGCTGTAACTGTTGGTAGCTTCACTGTTTCAAAAGGAGGGAAAAATGTCCGAAATAAGACACCATGCTAATCGGCTTCACTGTTTCACAAGGAGGGAAAGATATCCGAAATAAGACACCATGCTATTAGATCAGTTGCACACAAGATACATAAAGGCAAAATTGGTACCTAGGCACTGCACTTAATTGCACTGCACACCTAATAATCATGAATTGGTTGCTGGACTCTGCAAATCATCAACATATGATTTTCTTTTAGGACTTTCCTTCCCCCACACAATGATCAGGAGGGTAGCAAAGTCAGGTGCATCATAGTGCCAGAGAAAGTGATTTCCATTCGATTCTACATACAAATCACTTTAGACTTGTGCACAGGAACTAAGTATAGCAGTAACATTAACAGTTATTGCCTCAGAAAATATCCATGCCAGAATTGCCATAACAAAAGGAGAGAATGTACCTTGGCAAATCAGCTCACTGAAGATGGTTAAATTCTTAAAAGAGACTTAGTCCTTCTGATAAAAGGAGAGAACTAGGTCTGTATGTACTGAGAACAATTGCGTGTCCACAAAGAGCTGCCAACAGAAAAAGAAAAGTCCACATACATTAGTCCATGGACCAGTATACAGGCCATGAAAAGAACATGGCATTTTGGGTATCGACATGGTCTCTGAAATACAATTTTGACCACTAATTTCTACTATAATCTATTTGTAAAATCCAACAAAATTATAACGGTATGAAAGTGATTTTTGAGACATCCATAATGTGATTTTTCATGTATACAGTTTAGTATTTAAAACGATTGATGTGCAAAGTTTTGAAAGTTTGATATGGTGCATGTCCAAAAAAGACGTACTATCTCTGTCCCAAAATAGTTGTCACAATAGAGTACTGATTGTCGAATCAATCACTTCTCATTCAAATTTCTCCCTATTCTACTCTCAACCACCCTTCCACTCTTACCTATACACCATCTAATGAGGGGCATCATAGACTTTCTTCTCAAACCTTAATATATGCTAAACAACCAAGAATTACAATTATTTTGGGATGGACATAGTATTCAGTATAGGAAGACTTAAAATGCTAAGTGAAGTATCCTATTCAGTGTTGTCCAAGTATATTATTACAATACTTTAGTAGCAAAGAAACAGAACTAGACTATCCGTACATGTATAAGCTGTACTATCAAAACTCAGAAATTCCATTGAACACAAGAAGAAAAGGGAAGACTACAGTTTATACCTTCATAAAGGGCCTCTCACGGGTCGGGAAAGAACCGATGAAGCTCTCTCTTAAAAGCAAGGAAACCTGTGCAATACAGAAAACAATCATTAGTAACTTGTATGCTACACTTGTAAACATGCTGACAGAACATTTTGTCTGGTATCTGCACCACATAACAGCTAGTTTATTTGTCCACAAAGAAAGGGGACACAGAATAACCAGAACAAACACTATATTAACAACAAACCTTGTCATTGTTGGATTGCACATTAGTAATCGTATGAGATCTCAAGTTGGAACACAGCGAATCAAGGTAGGATCTAAGCACTGCCAAGAAACCTTTGGCAGCTTCCACCTGCAATTTGAGAAAATTGAATATCCCTCAAGGCTTTGACTAAATATGAAAGCTCATACAGTTCATTAACCAGTGAAAAAAATATTGAACCAGGAAAAAAAAATCAGTTCGGAAAAAAAAATCGGACTTCAACTAACAGAGACCATGTTGCAACAGCAAGGATAAGCGTGCCATGAAACCAGTGGAGCACATTTATGGATTCTATAACAATTATATCAGCAAAAGAGAAAGAAATATAAGTTCAACAATATCAGGATGCATCCTAAGTTGGGAACAGATCACGAGATACAAGATAACATGAAGAATCAAACAAATTAAGAAAATACCTGGGCATCTGTACATTCATAAACGGGCCTCTTTCTTGCTAGAAAACTCTCTCCCACTAGTCTGGAATGGTATGGACGCAGGGCAGAAAGCAACTCCTTCTGCTGCGGGAGTTGCGGGACAGAAGTAGACTTGATCTACATTTCAAGATAAAAACATGTATCAGCAAATAGCTGGTTGCATGACTCACATCATTCTTTTACCAGTGATAGCACGGTATTATGTGATTTTCTATTGGAAATTTTGTAATAGATAGCAGGGAACATATAGTTTTCATCACGAGGTCCCATAATAAAAAGATAAGACTCAAAAAACAAGACTTGCTGATCCATTTACATGTATTCACAATTCCGCAAATAATTGAATATCCAGCAAAAGAGTAAAATTGTTGGAATGTTAATGCAATAACAGGCACCTGATTCTTGTTGGCATCAATAACCACGGCGTTCACTAGCCTGGAATGTACATCGGATGTCTTGTTCTGCACACCAACCTAAGGAAGATAACTGTTATTAATCCTGGATCAGACAGTCCACACTTAAGGGTTTGTTTGGCACTGCGCTATGGGCTGAAATGCCCCCTCGTTTCCCATGAGCACACTTCCCAAACTGCTAAACGGAGCATTTTTAGCAAAAAATTTCTATCCAAAAGATTCTTTTAAAAAAATCTAATAGATCCATTTTTCAAGTTTATATTAGTTAATACTTAATTAATCATGCGCTAATCACCCGCTTCGATTTCCATGCATGAACTAGCTAATTCAAACCCCAGTGTCAAACGCAGCCTAACTCGATTAACATTTATTTTAGACAATTGAAATAATTGGTGGTGTATAAGTCACAATCTACTGGACCAATGCCCACATATTCAGCGGTAAACGAATGTGAGGTCTATAAATCTAGGTCTCATCCCACCCTGTTAAATGTACACACTAACAGCACCTGTACAATCTTATCCTTTCTCACCTTTGCATTTATCAAGATAAATAAGGTCAAGAGAACTCACTATGTATGGAACAGGTGCATCAAGAAAGTCCATCATGTCGTTTGGCAAGACCTGGAAACAAATAATGTAGAATATCAGAGCAAATACATTGCTTAGCTCTGCTCAAATCTGATTCATCCAAAGTCACAACGTCAACGTACCGGTATGAGTAGACTCTGCCACTGATATGGGCGTATCAGAGGTATGATGGACAAAACTGAAGCAGAAAGCATTCCCTGGCCATTGGAAATGATGAAAAGTTGACATGAAATGTAAGTAAAAACTCAATAAATGCTGAATTCTTGTTATTCATCAGCAAAGAACCAACCAAAGGTTCTACACAAGAACTCGAAAGAAAATATTGTACATGGTAGGGACATAATTGTATAAATTAACAAATCTACTTACCTATAAGGTTCAAGCGTTCCTCTTTTAATAACAAATAAACTCATAAAGAAGAATCAAAAGTGTTGCTAGAGCTAAAGCACATGGCTAAATAACACGCGGCAACGTATGTTAATGATTTGATTGAGTAACAACTATGCATGGTAGTTCTAGAGTTATAACAGGAATTACTTCTGTGATGCCCAGATAAAGATAAGCAATAGATTAACTGATCATCATTGTAACAACAAAAATATAAAATACGATAATGCCAGAATTTAAAAGCCTTGGAGGCTTACCAAATTAGAACAAACAATAATAATCTGTTTCTCCAGCAGTGCTGCAGCAAAAAGTGTCATTACCTGTCAACAGTATCATTTCAAAATGAGAAATACAGGTAAATATCAGGTAGTACTCCAAAGCAATTTATAGACAGCTTCAATTTTTGAGCCAGCATGAATAAAGCACATGCACAAAGGATGTGGAACACTAGATCATCCATTACGTTTCATTAAAAAATCTGATCTAGTGAGATGGATGGGTCATAGAGACAGGCATCAGTTTGTTTCTTATTATGGAATCATTGTCAAGTGTGAGTAACAAACAAGCAATAATACTAAAAGGCTAATTAGCCCACAGTGCAAAGCAGAGACAATTTCATGTCATCGAATGCAGTAAAGTGCACCACACATTCCATGCACAGAATCAACTGATTTCCGTCTTGTTCTTTCATTAAAAACTCACTATTAACATAGTTCCAAAATCACATCTGGAGTAAGCCAGACAAAATGGCACTGCTAAAGTGTTATCCTATTGACGTGATTATCCTAAAGCATTATCCTATTGACGTGATTATCCTAAAGCGTTATCCTATTGACGTGATTATCCTAAAGCGTTATCCTATTGACATGATTATCCTAAAGCGTTATCCTAAAGAAAAATCAAGACAGATACCTCAATGATGCAAATTGGCCACTTGCAAATAGTTAGCAGTTGAGCATGGAAAAAAATCAGTTCACAATGGGTAGCACTTGTGTATTTTGAAAGTATGACGACAATCTTCTATAAATGACACCACTAAGCAACTAGTAGTGGTAAATAATTAATTAGGTTCTGCAAAGGAAAATAAGTCATCTCAGCAATACGCGAAGAATCTTACATGCTCCAACCTGAGGCATCCACAAATGGATGCCACAGCCCATGTTGATAAAGCAGTCGATTCCTCCTCGGCAAATAGCGCATTGCGCATCTGAAAAGGAGTGGACAAAGCTTAGACATAGTATTCATGTATATACATAGCAAATAGCTTATGACACCAGAGTGGACAATGATAAATGCATAATATTGCAACACATCAGTATATCTCACCTCAGCCACCTCTAAACTTGTATCACATGACCGCAGATCAATAGTAGAACCAGCAATATGAAGAACTGTTTCACCTGGCCGGTGAAACCTTAGAGGATGAAGGTGATCCAACGGGTGAAAAGTAAGGGATGAACCCCTGGCAGGACACTGCAGCTGATAGTACTGAGAAACAACTTGCAGAGATCCATATTTTTTTGCCTGAAGAAAACAATAAGTTACCAAATATACCAACAAAAAAGAGAGAGACAGATGAGCAAAAATTTGTGTCATTTTATGCAAATAGCACCTTAGCCCATTGCGATATATTGTTGTGGCCAACTAAGTCTCCATGACCAATTGATGATGGCTCCTCCAAATCCGATTCATGGCTATCGCTTCTGAAATTTATGCCTTCAGAAGGAGAGTCCTGGGAACTGCAGTAAATAGTGCTAACTACTTTATTATTTTATTCAGCTAGTGATGCACAAAATTAAGAAGTAACAAGACGATTTCAAGTGAGAATATCAGAATTCAAGAAACATAGGAATAGGTTATGTAAAATAACATACTAGTGCCTTAATTATGTGGAGGATAACATACCCTGGAGATAATTCAGAACCTTCACAAAGGCGAGAGCGCATGAGAGGTAGAATAGTATCATTAACAAAGATGTCAAGCTGTTCATCGTTCACATCATCCTGTAAAGAATAGCCACAATTTTCTGTGGTATCAGATTCCTTCAGGATAACTGGTACAGAATCCAGTTCATGAAGCTCAATCCCAGATTGATCGGCAGTTGTATCTTCTGATAAACAATTGTCAGGCCTTTCAAGAGTATCACACTGAGGAGCTGTTCCTGTTACAAGATCATCCTGTACTACACATTCCTGTTGAACTTCTTTGCAGTTTAAGTCCAATTGGTTATCTCTACATTCAGAACTGCTGTCAGTGTCAGACAGCTCCTTTGAACAAACTCCCACACTTGATTCAGAGGATTTTTCCAGATCTACTGCATGACCATCGAAATATTGTTTTTCTGTTGCAAGTTCAGTTCCTTCGCAGACAACATCATCCTCACAGGTTTCCTCAGGTGATAATGATGTAAGCAAGCTAACCCCATCAGTGAGCCATTCGAGACGCTCTTCCATAAGAATACTGTTTGTGAAAGTCATATGCAAAAGAAGTGGCATCAAGGAGAATATCAATATTGCGTATAGATCTGGATAGCATGAAAGACACTCATACAACAATGTTTAACAAAGAGCAAATTGAGCAGAGACAATCGCAGGAACTTTGGATGCAATCTAAAATATTATTTATGCCATAAATAGAAATCCTGAACTTACATCCCCATCCTGAGATCTTGAAGCATTTTGTGTTCAAGCTCACAAGGAAACAAATTAACCATTGGATACACATAATAAAGCAGATAATTGACTCCAATGTTAAGTTAAAAGCATTACTAGAAAACTAGAACACTGTGCCAATTGTGGAAAATATAAGGGAGCAAGTGATTGAATTCATGGTTTTAAACCCCAAACCTTCTTAGTTGCTTATTCTAGTATTCTTGTCTAAGATATCGATGCTTATTCTAGTTGCTGTGATGTAAAAATGTTACTTGCAGAAGCAAAAGAAGCAACAAACTTGTATATGTTTTCCGAAACTAGCAGCGCAATTGAAAATGTAAAAGCTCTTTATGGCTAATAAGGACCAAAAGCAGCCGATGAATATTTTTTACGCAAGAACTAGTGATCAAAATTAGAACATACAAATGGTACACAAGGATGAGGCTTCCACTTCTGCTGAGTGCAGACCGGAAAGGTGGCAAAGCAAAAGACTGCCAAAAATAATGAATATTTACAATTCAGCAAGATAACAAGCGATAATTGCGATCACTATACCGTACCTCTGTAGCACCCCAAAGTGCAGTTCAAAGAATGGGAGCCTGGAAAAGATGCAATAGCATCGCGGTGTAGTTATTACATAACGACTCCGGCGTGGAAAGACAGGTTTTTCACTTGTGAGCATAGAAACCAGCTTCGAAGGTCTCTGTACAATCTCTTCAACTAACACGCAGCATCCATATAGTGTAGAGTCATCAGCAACCTGCAGTCTTTCGATAATCAGCAACCTATTGAAGTAGAGTGATATATTGGAGAAAGAAATACATTTACCTGTAAACGGAACACGAAAGACTGGTTGCTTTCTTTAAGTTGCTCCTGAAATGGGCAACTTACTATATAAGATTATGGATAAAAAAAATCATGACACAGGACTATATTACACAGGCTGTAAATCCTTAGAGAGCATCACCATTATATGGTGTTGAAAAAGACAAAATTAGCACGGAGAAACAGTCACCTGTCCTAGGAGGATTTCATTCAGCTCACTGAATGAGGGGGTCCGTTCAACCGCATGGACCTAATACAAACATAAACATAGGTAAATTGTTTTGAGGGTATACAGTGCATGATCTGACAAAACTACAGATGGAGGATTGGATGTTAAGCAATCAATGCATATGTGTTTTCATTCAGAAGAAACAAAGAATATCAGCTGTGGTTGCAGCCTGCAGCAAAAACAAGAAGGTAAACACTATTAGCAGTATGTAGCCCAAATGTAACAGACCTGTACACCTCCAGGAAGACAGAACGAGAGGATATCCTTGTACTTGAGTGGTAGAGGCCTCTCTGGAGGGTATGCAAAAAGAACCTAAGGAGTAAGCAGGCAAAAGTAATCAGCAAAAGTTTCAAGTGCATGAAAGAAGACACAAAGCGGATGAGGTGAGCTATAACCTGAGGTTCCAAATTTGACAATGCATGAACTTGGTGGTGATTGTTACCGAATATATTTCTCGGTTTCTTTACATCTTCCTCATTGCTCCCTAGTGCAATGTTTTCTAGCTCATGGATATCTGCCTGAGGAGGGAGTCCAACAATCACAATGCTCTCGAAAAGATGTGATGGTTCTCTGATGCACCTATTACCCTGGTCCAGAAAAGAATTTTGACAGTTTTGAGCAAGACCAGAACGGGTACAACCACAGAAGAACAGAAATGAGAAATACAACGTCACACTCTTCAAAGTACTTTCCAGAAACAACTCTACAGCGGCTTGCATGCTGAAGCAAAGTGACTCGCAATAATCATCTATGAAAAACAAAGTGTATATAATTCTAAAGTGTTTGCCACAATTTACCAGTCTTATTAACTTAAAAAAGCTAGGTTACAACACAGTGGTATTTAAATTCATCTGTTGCACTCAAATAATTACTCGGAAACATGGTGAACACACATAAAAGTGTGCAAGTAAATGAGTTGCTCTGGTGCTTATGAGGTGTTAGGTATGACCGTATGAAGTTTGCCACAATTTACCGATCTTACCAGTTTAAAAACGCTAGGCCTTTCAATGGTGTGGTATCCAAATATTATTGGGTTCTTTTTTTTTTTTTGAAGTGGAGAGAGAGCCTCTCCCGTTTCCATTAATAGAAACGATAGTAGTTCATTACAAGATATAAACTGAAAGCAGAACAGCAGAAAAGATAAAGCTGAACTGACTGCTCACAAATGGCGCCATCCCACCATTTTGATGCATCAGCAGCAACAACTTTTGCACTTTGGCCCTACAAAGTCTAAGAAAGCTGTACCAACAAAGACAAAGGTAGACGAGAAACAAAGCTACCCTATTGAGTTCTTACTGTACATGGCTATTGCACTGGAATAAGTACTCAGAATTCAGAGGCACTTGTGAACAAGTACATAAGAATATAACAAAATGGATATTTTTGTTATGATGCTCAGGTTATTTCAACCATTACAGAACAAAGGTAACTGCTATTTATAATCTATAGAGTGTGAAACTGTCCAGAGATGACTAGTATAAATGTAATCATAACTGTTGAGTAAACCTTCCTAAATAGTTTCAAATAATTCAGCAAAATGCTGATAAGTCACCACTCACTACACAAGTACACATGATAGATACATGAGCAAGGTGAAAGAACCAAAGTAAAACTTTCATGCAAATCAAACTCAATGTGTGATAGATCATTGAGCCTGACAAGCGATATTAAATGAGTTCTGGTATTTTCTATAAGTAAAACTCCAAGACAAAAAATGTTGATCAAAAAATACACATAGTTCGTGTAAATGGAACAACATAGACGTTGAAGCGACTGTTATCTTGTCTTGTGACCATGCTATGACCTGTATAGGTTGTAATGGGAAAGAATTAAGACTAACATCCCTAAGATGAACTGCAAGTTTGAATATTATGCTTGAAAAACAACTGCCAATGAAGACACACTATTGAACAACTAGTGAAAAAAATAGCATATTTAGCTCTGTTTTGTGCACTACTGTACTCTGTCATAGCAGTTAAAGGATACAGGTCACTCATAAATTAAAGCTCTGAATTAAAGACCGAAGTTAATCTGCAAAAGTATGTCCACCAACATATAGATTGAAAATGCGATACATACCAGCGACTTTAGTTGGAACCTGGACCACTGGCGCTTTTGTGTTGTGAGAACCTCCGGGTTGTAAGATCCAGACACTTCAGGTGACGTTGAAAACCCTTTCAGGATCTTCGAAAATTGTTGTTGCAGCTTCTGCATTGGGCTGCCACTCTCTTCTCTGGAAGAGTACACCACAGATGGTCGTGTTGACTGTACAGTGGCTGCAGAAGCTGCAGCAATAAATGCTCTCGCTACCTCTTCAGTTGTTTGCATCAGGTGTGATGTGTTGAATTTGAGCCCTTCAGATCCATCGTTCTTGTCCACCATTCTAAATGCTTCCTATTCATGCAAGCAAGGAGATTGTCACTCCAGTAGTGTGATTGAGCATGCGCATATCCGTCAGACAACATCAGGACACAGGACACATATCATGGAAATACGTAGGGTAACAAACAAAACTTGAGCATTACACCATGATCATGATCCAGTGGTAGCATCTATCGTACAAGTAAATCATCTTCTCGGCTTTGAACCACTTAAATTAAATTCGACAGAACCTATGGCCTACACAACCTACAGTCCTGGGAACGTAAATTTGTGAAATCTACCTCATACAGAACAATAAATCAGCTTGTACCTCACTCTGATATCCAACCAGAAGCCACCTAACAGCAAACCGTGTGCACTTTACCTACCTAAAAAGCGGTCCACTTGAATAATCATCGAACTTTTCCAAAATTAATCACTGAGTGCATGGTTGAATCCAAAAGGGCAAAAGGTGACAACAAATCGAACAATACCACATAATCCGATACTACTATGATCGATTTATATACTTCGAAAGTAAGAAAATGCATTATCAGCGACCGAAGCATTCTATATTAAAAAAAAAACTAGCAAAATCGTACAGAGCAACCACTCGATCTTAGTGTTATGACCTAAAATTCGCGAAAATACCACATCCAACAGACTGTTTGACTACTCCAAATCCATCATACAGGCGACAGTAACCTCAAAGTGCCAAATCGATAGGGAAATCGCACCCTCCAACCAGAGTCAGATGCTCTCAGAATTTAACAGTAGAAAACCCATACCCCCACTACGGTCGACGAAACATCCCCGAAAAGAATCTCAAAACACACACACACACAGAGAAAAAAAATAATAGGGAAAAGCGCTCCGAATCGGCTCACCTCACCTGACGCGGCGGCGGAGGGGAGGGCTTTGAAGCTTCACCCCGCGAAGATCTCCTCGCCTCGGCTCTCCTCTCCCCGCTGCGCGCGCGCGCGCCGCCGCCGCCGTCGAAATGGACCCGCCGAACTAGCAACGAATGGGATGGCGGCCTCCTCCCCTTCCCCTCTCCTCCTCCTCCTCCTCCTCTCCTTTTTTTTTCCCCTTCGGATTTGTGGTTTAATGCGTCGATCCGTTCGATTAAAACCAGAGGCGATTCGTCGCGGAAAAAAAATTAAGTGGCGTGATTTGGTTCGGCGCTTGGGCTGGACTGGACGAGGGGGGAGGAGAGATTTTGAGAAGGCGAGTTTTTCGTGGACGAGTGGGAGTCTGCTGGAACTGGGGGGCGATCTGTCTCTCTGCTCGTGGGGCCCGTGCAAAGGAGGGTGCCTGAGTTGACCCGAGCCGTGTGGCCCTCCGTGTGGCCGGGTGCCTCGCTTGCCGCTACGCCATCCGACGCGTGGCTGCTTCTGGCTGGAGCCAACAGGGAGTACGTTTTTTTTTCCTTTCCGAGGGAAAAAATGCAGTAGAAGTACACGACAGCAGGCATGCAGAACAGGCCTTTGTATGCTCGCGCTATTAAATAGCTCTATGAAATCTTGCTATTTAGGATTATTAAATATAGATTATTGATAAAACCGATTCTATAATCTCTAGGTTATTTTGCGAGACGAATCTAATAATATATATTAATCCATAGTTAGCGGTTGATTACTGTAGCATCACTGTAGCAAATCATGGATTAATATACCTCGTTAAATTTGTCTCGCAAAATAGCTTAGGAGTTATGGAATGGGTTTTGTCGGTAATCTACATTTAATACTCTTAAATAGCAAGATTCCGGAGGGCTATTTAATAGCCCTCCGGATTCAAACAGGGCGTAGTAGAAAGGGAGTGTTTAGAACTTTAGATCAGGCTATAAAGGTTTGACGTGTCATATCGCATATTATATAGAGTTTCTCACTGAGTGTTCGGGCACTAATAAAAGACTAATTACAGACTCCGTCAGTAAACTGCGAGATGAATTATTAAGCCTAATTAATTCATCATTAGCAAATATTTACTGTAGTACTACATTAATGGAGCAGTTAGGTTTAAAAGAATTGTCTTGCAAATTAGTCGTAATCTGTACAATTAGTTTTTTAGATTATATTTAATACTTCATGTAGATATTTAAACGTTCGATGTGTCAGTGTGTAAAAATTTTGGCAAAGATCTAAAGGCCTAAATCAAACGTTTTCTTTTAAGATGAATAAATCAAACGTTTTGCAACAATAATTGTACGGTTTTTAAGCTGTTTAGGGATAAATGATACTAGGACGACTTAAAAACCAGTGGTACTAGTACTCAGGAAGAGTCCAACAAGTTTAGTCTCGGCAATCAACTTTTTCTTTCTCTCAATTAAGTTGTTTTGAATATTGATTCAGTCGTTTTCTGCTTGGTTGCTACCGAGCATTACACCCTGTGTTGTTTTTGTATTTTTTGGACAACTAGTTGTGGATATGCTCGATAAGAATATAAGATACTCCAAGCTCATATCTTCGGGACTTTGTTTATTCTTCAGACCCTTTTTACTTTGATTGGAAAATCTCTGCTCCTAAAAAATTGCAAGTAACAGGAGTGTGACCAATGAAACTGGTAGAGAGATGAGTATATAGGAATGGTATCCTCAGATTTATACGTGAGTCACTTAACTGCATTTGTGATTACTTCCTCCGTTTTAAGTTATAAAACTTTATAGTATTACACATTTGTATAGATATTAATGAATCTTAATACATTAATATATATATGAATATTGGTAATGTTATAAAGTTTTATAATTAAAACGGAGGTAGTAAGTCGGAGTGTGTAAAAGGCAAGAAGCTGAGGCTCAAACTCCAGAATCCAGATGTCAAAGCCTCTAGTAGAACAATTCTGAAGGTACGAGCAGTACGACACATGTACAGTGATGACGTTTTAAAGCCGGTATCCATAGCCATCAATGAAGTGGTTCCACCGTTTGGCAGCAGTTGAAAAAAAATTATGTGGACACATTGTACCTACCTAAGTACTCTTAGGGAGCGTTGCGTTCGTTCTGGTGAGTTAGGGTGAGAAAGCACATCGTAGTCCGCGCACACGCTTTCTAAACTATTAAACGATGTGTTTTTGGCAAAAAAAATTTCTATAGGAAAGTTGCTTTTAAAAATTATATTAATCCATTTTTGAAATTTAAAATGGTTTATACTCAATTAATCATGCGTTAATGGCTCACCTCGTTTTACGTATCTTTCCAATCTTCTCAATCCCCTATCCCTCAAACTCACCCTTAGGCTCTGTTCGTTCTGGGGAGATAGGGGAGAATGAGTCTCGTTTTCCGCGTGCACGCTTTTCAAACTACTAAACGGTGTGTTTTTTGCAAAAAAAATCTATAGAAAAGTTGCTTTTAAAAATCATATTAATTCATTTTTAAAATTTAAAATAGTTAATACTCAATTAATCATGAGCTAATGACTCACTTCGTTTTGCGTATCTTTCCAATCCCCTCCTCAAACAAACCCTTAGCTATGCAAAGTACAGTACCATTCTTTCGCTCTTCCATTTGTAGCTGTACTCTCGTGTTTGCAGAAGTTAAACTCGCTACCAAGATTTAAAAAACCACGTGGTTATTACGTGTGATATCCTTTTAAATTTTCGAAACCACGATATAACTCATGATAACTATGTGGTTTCGTGGTAACCACACGGTTTCCGTGATAACCATTAAACCTTGAGCCGTGAGGTGATGGTAATCTCGTCCAAAATAGTTTGGTAAACCCTGCATGCTACCCTTGTTGATTTTAACGCTTTGCTCCTGCGAGCAACGATTTTTGACGTTAATGAGTACTATCAAGCTGAATACTAGCTGATCATCCCATTGCCGCATAAGATCAGTGAGTGCTACAGCGACACGAACTCGCCCGCTGATCTCCATCTTTTTCTCTGTCTGGGCCACGCTCAAGCGTGGCGAGAAAGCCGCCTGGGCCCATTGCTCGGAAATCAATCAATCATTTCATTTCATTGTGAACTACTCCCTCCGTAAAAAAAAAACAAACCCTAAATTTCTATGTCCAACTTTAACTGTCCGTCTTATATGAAAATTTTTTATAATTCGTATTTTCATTGATGTTTGATGATAAAACATGATTAATATTTTATGTGTGACTTGTCTTTTTAATTTTTTTTTCATAATTTTTTTAAATAAGACGGACGGTCAAATGTTGAACATGGAAACTATGGCTTGTCTTTTTATTTGGACGGAGGGAGTAAGGCATGATCTAGTTCCCAACTTTTTCTTCAAACTTCTAACTTTTTCATCACATCAAAACTTTCCTACACACAAATTTTTAACTTTTCCGTCACATCGTTTCAATTTTAATCAAACTTACAATTTTGGCGTGAACTAAACGCACCTGAACCCATGCCATGCCACCCCTTTCAGCTTTAACCATGGTTTCCAATGCAGCATTCAGCTCTGCCGTTTACTTTTATACAGCAGAATTTTCGCAGAAATTTCTCTACCTGAATACGGCTGTGTTCAGTGCAGTGTAAAGTTTAGATTTTGGTTGAAATTAGAGATGATGTCACTGAAAAGTTGTGTGTGTATGATAGATTGATGTGATGAAAAAGGACTGAAGTTTAGATCCAAACTTTAAATCTAAACATAGCCTACCTGAACTTTCGTAGAGTCTTGAGATCGGGTCATTGCGAAAGTCCATTTGTTGCATTTTGGTCTGGAAATTGTTCGGCGAAAAATCTCGGAATGCATTGGTGGATATGTCAATTGCATCAGCCCATGCCTGCATGGTGGGGAGCTGGACATGGGAATTGTAGCACGCAAGAAAACGACGGGTGATTGAGCAGATAGGCTGTGTGCACTATTCTGAATTTCTGATTCCAATTCCTGGTCTGGTAGCATGCCAGCCCAGCTCTCTGCATTGCTAGCCTTTCTCAGGCTCAGAATCTGAACTTCGTTTGATGGAGGATTTGGGTTTACTCTGACGGAACATCCTGCAGCTTCACCAAAGTAATTAAGGCCGAGTTTAGTTCCAAATTTTTTCTTCAAACTTTTAACTTTTTTATTACATCAAAACTTTCCTACACACATAAGCTTTCAACTTTTCCGTCACATCGTTTCAATTTCAACCAAACTTCTAATTTTGATACGAACTAAACACACCATAAATAAAAAAGTTAGAAGTTTGAAAAAAAAATTTAGAACTAAACACAGTCTAAAACATGAGATGAACAAAACCAAAGGTGAGGGATGTATACTCTACTAGCATTGGCAAGTGTGACGATGCATAAAGAAAGAATGTTCTTCCATTACGTGGTGCCCATACACGTCGATGCAATTAATTCCGTGATAGATGAAGAGGATGGAGAGATGACACGACCTCGCGAGCCTAATCCGAATTGGATAGATTTAGTGATCCGGCTTTACGATTGCTATCCAAATGAGAGAGAAAAAAAATATTTTTAGGGGGCTTTCTTTCCTCTTGAAAAGGACCACATTTCTTTATCCACGAGCTGTTAGCATCAGTGCATCACGCCGTCGCCAATGAAAGAAAGAAAGAGAAAGGGAGGAAAGGTTAGCATCATGATTATTGAGAACCTGTCATAGCTGTCAAGCAGAGTTGCTGATCGATTTGTAGACTCAGATAATTATATGTCATTTTGGGCCCTGCCAATCAGCCGTTGCCTCATCAACAGATCACTAGACTGATGAAGAGTGCCGCGTCATCCTTCGTCTGATGGCATCATTAGCCCATATGCTGCTAGATGCAAGAACTCGATCGAGGACATGAACATTTCGGGCTTGTTTGGTTTGAATCAAATTTTTGCCATACCAAAATCTTAATAGTGCCAAAACCTTGGTAAGTTTTGGTACTATTAAATTAGGTGGTATTGAATTTGAACTATTATGACAAAAAATTGGTAGCAAACCAAACATGTATTTGCTACTATTGAAGTAGCCAAAAAATTAGTAGGGCAATAAGTTGGTTGCAAACCAAACAGGCCCTTCCTTGCATATATCTAACACAATTACTATGGATGTGTTTAGTTCACACCAAACTCCAAACTTTTCCATCACATTATATCACATCCAAAACTTTTCTACTTACATTAACTCCTAACTTTTTTTCCAAATTACCAATTTTCCCCAAACTTCTCCTTAAACTTCGGAACTAAACACAGCCTATATGGCAAAGGCCACTTGCTGACAGATCTAGCAAACGCCACCTGCTCTGCTGCAGAACCCCTTGCTGGTAGGTAAACAGAGTGCAGGTTGTGCATAGAAAAAACTACTAGTTCCCTCTGT